TACTCTCCTTTACCCGTCCCCTCTCACCCTTGGGAACATATCTCTATGGATTTTGTAATTGGATTGCCTAAATCTTCTGCAGGCAAAGATTCCATATTTGTTGTTGTTGATAGGTTCTCTAAGATGGCACACTTTATTGCTTGTGCTAAGACTAATGATGCTGTTAACATTGCTGACTTATTCTTTAAAGAGATTGTTCGTTTGCATGGTTTACCTAAGACTATTGTGAGTGACAGAGATGTGAAGTTTCTTAGTCATTTCTGGCGTACCCTATGGCATAAATTAGGGACTAAGTTACTTTTTTCCACTACTGCCCATCCACAAACTGATGGTCAAACTGAGGTAGTTAACAGAACTATGACTACATTATTAAGAGCAATAATTCAGAAGAATTTGAAGAATTGGGTGAATTGTTTACCTCATATTGAATTTGCTTACAACAGGGCTGTTCATTCTTCTACTTCTTATTCTCCATTTGAAATTGTTTATGGTTTCAATCCATTATCTCCTATTGATATTTTACCTTTGCCTTTCTCTGAGCATGCTAACACTGATGGCAAGAAAAAAGCTAAGTTTGTGCAGGACTTACATGCTAAGGTTAAAGCAAATATAGAGCGAAAGAATGAGCAATATGCCAAGCAAGCTAATAAAGGCAGGAGACGTGTGATCTTTGAGCCTGGAGATTGGGTTTGGTTACATTTAAGGAAAGAGAGATTTCCTAATCAAAGGAAGTCCAAACTTCAAGCTCGAGGAGATGGACCTTTTCAAGTTTTGGAAAGAATTAATGATAATGCTTACAAGATTGATTTGCCTAGCTCTTATGGCAATGTTAGTGCCACATTTAATGTTTCTGATTTATCTTTATATGATTCTGCAGATTCGAGGACGAATCCTTTCCAACTGGGAGGGAATGATGGGCCCCATGGCACAGGTGACATAATATTAATGGCAACGAAGCCTGAGGATGGTAATCATGAGCATGGTGACATAGAAGGAGCCCAATACTTCCAATCCAACGTACCTAAAGACCCATTGCAACATATTGGAGGTCCAATGACAAGAGCCCGAACCAAAGCTATGAAGCAAGCCTTGTTCAGTCTTGTGCAAGAAGTTCAAGAGCTTGGAGAGCATTGGGGCACTCCCCTCAAGTCCAAAGGAGAGCATCTATATGTGTATAATGTATTTAAGATCCAAACTCATGAAGAGTCAAGCCCAAGAGATGCAGACCTTAGCCCAATGCAAGGAAGACTACAAGTTGACCTCTTGCATGCAAGGAGACATGAAACCCTAGTAAAGAAGTCAAGAGTGGCGTGATTTCAAATCCTTTATGATCCCTTGATTGTCTCCTAAATTATTTCCTATTTTAATGGTCCTTTGATTTGATTTTCTATTTTGAGTCTAGTCAAAGGTTAGAATTAATTATAATATTAATTTCTAAATTTTGTAATCCCATAATTTTAGGATCACATCTCCTAAATTATGTGGCTAAATATTTTATCATTATTTCTCCTTTTAGTATTAGGAAATTAGGGTTTTAATTTTAGGAAATATTTTTTCTATAAGCCTATATAAATTAGGCATGCTCCCTATTGTAAACACACAGAAGTTGAATGAAATTATTCATTTTAGAGTTTATAACTCTTGTGAGCCTTAGTGCTTTGTGGTGGTATCCCGTGTGAGAAACCGACGTGATCAAGAGCGTGATCAACTCTTGCGGTGTCTTCGAAGGTTGAGGTTCCTAGAGGCAGGTGCTCTAGAGGATCTTCTCCTTGATCATTATCCTATTGTTTACTTCATACCTTTCTTTATTTCCGTCATAAATTTCGTCCCTTTCTTTTTTTGTTCTTGTGTTTTTGTTGTTTCAGGGTTCTGTCCCTAAACTAGCACGATTCTGCTTCCGCGTCCCTATCAAAGGGCATTGTTGACAACTATGTTGTCCCTAATTTGACACATGATCATCGCATCATGGGCTTGCTTACCAGGTTTAAGTGTAGCCAAGGTTGCACAAACTCTAAAAACTGATGCATAGGTAATTAGGTATACTCATCTGGTCTCATTCTCATGCCATACTGTCTCATTAAGTAGAAAAAATCCAATCCCACTTCTCAAGGCCTTTTTGGATGCTAGCAGTTTTTGAGTGTCCTAATTTAGCATATAATATTTGTGGATACCGTATTTTGTCCAGGCTTTCAAATATAAATGAAAAATAAATAAAAAGCCCAATATAATTGAGTAAATTAAATAAATAAAATAAAAAAAATAAGATTTTATAAAAAATTAAAAAAATAAAATAATATTTTCATGACTTCAAAAGAAAATTTTTACTTTTTTCATGGCCCTCATATCCCCACAATTATGGTCCTATTAAATTAAATGCTATAATTTGAATCTAAAACAATTAAGGCAAAAATCAAGTAAAAATTATTAATGATTTGATATAATTAAAATTGATTGGGTTATAAATGTGAAAAAAAGCTTAATTGAGTTTCTATAAAAAGAGATTTTTGGGAGAGGTAGGACGGACAGAGAAAGTGAGGGGAAATTTTGGAAGAGAGGAGGGTTAGAGCAAAAGATTTTGAGCTGTAAAGGGAGCAATAAATTGTTAATCTCTATCATCAAGGCTTGCATGAGATGACGTACAATACTAAGCAGCGAGACTTTTTGTAGTTAATTGCTTTTTTTTTTTCCCTATTTGTTGGAATTGTTTGGTGGAGTTCCCTTCTGGCTCGATCTCATCGTACAATGGTTTGTTATCGTGATTTTCTTTTTACTGACAATTTGAAAAGAGCAATAATTAAGGTGTGTGTATACCTTGATGCATGTGTGAGGAAAGAATTCCCTGTGACGTGATTTCAATTGTCACTACTCACCCCCAAGAGATTGTACTTGATAAAGGTTTCCTCCATCATTTATGTTAGTCTAATTCTTTATTTGAACTCTTTTTTCAGAAAAGAAGTCTTAATGATAAAATACGTGTTTCACTCTTTTTTTGAATTTTTTATGAGTAATATTATATCATCATAAATACCTAAAAATTTTAAATGAGATATTGTGAGTGATACTAAATTATCACAGATTCAAATACCAATTAAATCTCTCCTCTTGCGCATTATTAAAAATAATAAAAATAACAAATTTTTAGCATATTTTAAATTATACCATAAGTGATACTAAATCACCATGGATCTCTAAAAATTTCTATAAAAATTTTCTTATTAAAATATTTTCTAAAAAATTATTCTTGAAAATTCATTTTATTTATTTAGAATTTGCCATGATTGTACACTTAGAGTGTCAATCAGCGAACTGCAAGTGATACTAAATCACCATAGAGTTCAATATTGATTATTTTTTTCTTCCCCAAAGGTACTTCCCTAGAACAAATTGTTATTTAAAACAAATAAATAAAATAATATAACTCAAAATATCAATCTTTTCCATAAGGAAATTAATTAAAAGAATTTAAAAAATAAATAATAATATTTCAAACTACGTAAACTTTGATCCCTATAATAAGATATATAGGCCCTAGGTTTTAATCTTAGGTCAAGTCCTCCTTTATAAATAAATTATTTATTTTTATTTTCATTTTGTTTCTTTTTTTTATGTGATAATAAAGGGTGATTAAGATATTATTAAAAAGTTAATTAATTTATACAATTAACTTACTGTAACTGTTCTTAGCCAATTAATTTATACAATTAATTTAGTACAACTATTCATATGATCGGGTGTCATGGAGTGTCTAATACCTTCTTTACGCACAATCAACTCCCAAATTTTTTTCGCAAACCATCATTTTTTTGTTTTAAGGTTTTCTAAAAATTTTGAAGGCAACTCTCATTTTCTCATATTTATCGGCCTTCTCTCACTGCGAAAAGCACGGACGCGACAATATTAACAATTTGATCTTTTAAGTATTCATTTGGAACATATCCAACTACAATCATTTCGCATGGATTCTTCTGGCTTTCTTGTATTCTTTCCTCAATATGCCTTCCTGCAGCAGAAGGGAATAGGTTCTTGAGTACACTGTTAATCCTGTACGACACAAGAGTCCACTGGCTTCTGTTAACCTTCCAGATATACATAGACCTTTCAAAACTTTATCCAAGTTGGGGCAATTTTTATGAGGCTTGACCTGTAAACTGGTAATGTGTGCCCAGTATCGATCGCGAACATGGCCAAAGCATAGTTTTCCCGCTCAAACAAGTAAATTACATGATACACACACACACACACACACACGCACGCACACATATTTTTAAGATGTCCTCGATTACAAGAATGCATTTGGATATCACGTTTTTGAACTGTCAATAATTTTGCCTTTACTAAAACAAGGCATCTATTTGCGGCAAATTACATCGGAAAATCCATTTATTGAATGGCAATCATAAAATTCCCAAAAAAAAAAAAAGGGCCTATTTACCGCAAATCTCCCTTTTGTGTGCATACAAGCATTACCCCAGATGTGCAAAGAGAATTCAAGCAAGAGAACACAATCATAAAAATAAAATATGAAGATAATTCAAGCATATGTTTACACGCTGTTATTATCCTTAAACTGAATTCCTTTGACTGAGCATCAGACAACTATCTCGCGAATCTCACCGGACGGAGAAGCAGACGCCTCCATTTGCAAGTGCCGGTATTGAAACAAACAAATGAAGTTACTTAGTGAAAGAGGTACCGAAATTAGGTGGAGATGATTTAGGATGCAACTTGAATTATTGCAAAAGACAGAGTCAGGGTCCCACAAAATGAAGATGAGAAAGTACAACTGCAAATACCAGGTCGTGCAAGAACTTAATCCTATAGAAATATTGATATAGATACATCTGACTTTGTGGATTTGAAGCTTGCAAAGGGTTTTTCTTCAGAGCTTAAGCTTACAAATAAACCTTTTCATCAATATGTGGTAACATCCCTAGTTATCACTTACAACAACAGTAATAATAAACAAGTTTTATCATATTAAGTGAGATCGACTACATAGATTGAATGATATCATTATACTCTATTATTAATCAATCTTTTAGGAATACTATTAACCAAGATATCTTGTTCAACAACTTACATAAGTATTCCTTTGTTGTCTTTCTCTATCCCTCTTTATTGAATTTAAGACTATCTATTCTACTCTTCTCATCGATACCTTCCACAATCTTCCCTATACATGGTCAAAATATCTTAAATGATTTTCTATAATCTTCCCCTTGGTAGATGTCATGCCCATTTTTTCTCCTATATACTCGTTTTGCTAGTTATCAATTACAAATACTTTTTTTTTTTTCACAACGCTATATATCTCTTCAATTACTCTGCTAATTTGTCTGACTTGAATAACCTTCGTCCATGCAAGAGCAGATGCCTCCCTTGAAATGGTGGAACTGTTCAGCATCCCTAACAGAAATCTCCCTTCGAACCACCTTAGAGATAAATTTAACAGTATCATGACAACTTTGGCACATATAAAGATTCTTAGTCACCCAAATGGGCATTCCAGGGGCAGTGTTAATAAGTCCAAAAGCAATGGCTAGTCTTTCACTATGGCCACAAAATATATCAGCTTTAGAAGATTCAACTATGTCCAAAGAACTATTCGCTAGACCTCCAAAACCAGCTTCCTTCATCTTCTCATAAAATCCCTCTAAAATTGCACTTATTTCCTCTATTTGAGGATGAAAGTAATCACCACTTAGAAAAGCATGCACTTTGCCCTTGACTTCCACCCAGCTGCATCCAGGATCCACTATTAGTCCATTTTGTCTCATCATTTCTCTTACTCTTGCAACTTTGTCCCATCTGCCACTGTCAACATATAGATTTGACAGAAGAATATAATATCCTACACTTTTTGTATCATCTTGAAAGATATTCTGAGCAGCAAGTTCCCCAAGCTCAACATGATGGTGAATCCTGCATGCGTTTAATAATGCTCCCCAAATTGCTGGATCTGGTTTCATTGGTATTTTCTGTATGAATCCATAAGCATCATCTAATTTTCCAGCACGGCCAAGCAAATCAACCACACAAGCATAGTGTTTCAAGTTAGGTGTAATACAGTAATTGTGTTTCATGCTGTTAAAGTATTCCAATCCCTCGGCCACCATACCAGATCTGCTACAAGCACACAAAATGGATATAAATGTAATTTCATCAGGGATAACGTTTGACTCTACCATTCTCTGAAAGAGTTCAATGGCAAGTTCTCCTTTCCCACATTCAGCATATCCTGTCAGTAGAATATTCCATGCTGCAACATCTTGGTCACCTGAGAAAAATTGTTTCCATGCAGACTCCATTCTTCCACACCTCACATACATGTCTAAAATTGCATTGGGCAGAAAACCATCAAAACCTAGTCCAGTCCTCAATGCATGGGCATGAATCTCTTTTCCACACGTTAAAGCTCCTATTCTAGAACATGCAGATAGGACAGAAACTAAGGTAACAGAGTTTGGCTTTAGTCTGAGCATCATCTCCTTAAAGAAAAACAAAGCTTCAAAACTCCGGTTGTTGATCCGAAGACCAAGGATGATAGACGTCCAGGATATAATATTCTTGTCACGTATGGAGTGGAAAACTTCTAAAGCCTTGTCAATGTTTTTACACTTTGAATACATATCAATGAGCGTGTTTGAAACTATAACATATGATATGAGCCCAGTCTGTTTGGCAACTACGTGAAGGGCCACACCCATATCCAGTTCCTCTAAGCATGAACATGCACATAATGCGCTAGCTAAGGTGATTTCATCTGGCATGATACCTTCCATTTCCATCATTTTATATGTATATAGAGCTTTTTCAGCAAGCAAACTATTCTCATAACCTGATATCATTGCAGTCCATGACACCACATCTTTACATTCTATTTGTGAAAAAACCTTCTCAGCTTCCTTAATAAGTCCAACAGATGAGTACATTTGAATTAATGAATTACAGACAGAGGCATCTCTCCCAAACTCCATCCTCATCACATAACCATGAATTTCCCTCCCCAAGTCCTTATCACCAAGAAGTTCACATGCAGTTATCACACTTGTCATGGTCATCAAATCTGGATCAACAGAACTCTCAAGCATCATAGCAAACAATCTTAGTCCCTGCAAACATTCTCCATTTTCAAAGCACCCGGAAATGATGGCATTCCATGAAATTGTGTCTCTATAAGGCATTTTATCGAATACCAACTGTGCAGTATCCACATCACCACATTTCATGTACATGGTTATCAATGAATTAACCACATCTACATCTGACTCAAACCCAAATCGAACAACATGCACATGAATCTCTCTGCCCCTAACTATGTCTGGCATTCCACCGCAAGTTCTCAAAACACATGGAAAAGTGTAAATATCTGGTCTCATACCATCCCACAACATTCTATGGTACAAATTCAAAGCCTCATCAAAGAATCCGGCTTTGGCATACCCGCCAACCAAAACATTCCAAGAGAATAAATTTCTCTCCTTCATTCTCCCAAACACATACCATGCATCCACCAAATTGCTGAACCTCACAAACATACTCAACAAAGCATTTCCCAATTTAAGGCTTAAATTACAAATTGACTTTGAAATGTAAGCGTAAACCCTAGAGCCTTCCTTTCGTGCTCGCTTCCATTCACAAAGCCGAACCAAAGCAACATAAGCATCCTCTTCCACAGAAATTTGAAGTTCATGCATAGAATCTAAGTAACTCAATGCTTGCTGCAGGTTTCCAAGAAGGCATAATTCGCAAATATTTGAACTTGGATTCTGCATACTGATGGAGTTACAATTGTTGACATAATTTGAAGCTCTGATTCCATCATATTTTCTAATTGAGAGATAGGGGGTTTGAAGATTATGAGAGAAAGTGAATGTATTGACATTGAAATTGCCAACAGAATGGTGAATAAGATGGTTTCTGTGAGCATGGATATGGGGGATTTTAGCAGAGGCAGCCATTGGAGTAACAGAGCATCGTCTCTTGCAGGATTTTGGGTGAGGTGAATCAGTTAAAACTTTAAAAGCAAGAGGAAGAAAGCATTCTGACACATCCAATCACAAAAGTTTAGAGTCAGAAGCTCCATCTTCTCTCTAGTTCCTCTAGTGAGAAGCTTTAGCTTCTTCTCCTTGGATTTCCCCAGCTCTTCCTCTGTTCTTTGCAAAATGATACTCACAACCACCAACAACCCACCGGCCAACAATAACCTTCCTGCTTCAAAGGAGGAAGAGGATCTCATTAGCAGAAACACGCTCAAATTGAATGCTACCACGACTCATCAGCCCATGGATATTCAAACAGAAACAACAAGAGAACATGGCAACAATCTTAATACTACTACGGCAGATCAACCCATGGAACTTCAAGAAAAAATATCAGAAGCAAGAAGCATAAAGAACCAGCAACAAGAATCCGATCAGAAGAAACCAAAAAGCTTATGGACTAGTGTCCTATGGTTCCTATATCCAATTAGGAATGGAAACAGCTATGTCAACCATGGAAAGGGGCCTTGGATATTACCACTCTAGGAATCAAACTCAACCAAAAATCTCTTAAACCCATATTAGCTAAGATGTTGAACTGATTAACAATTGTTAAATTGTTAGAACATGATGACCCACAACACTACAAAATGAGTCTTAATAGAGGACCATGGGTCATCTAGATCATTATATCCTCGTTCAGAAATGGTCCACAAGTTTCAATCCTAATTACAATTCCTTAGACAAAATCGCTCTTTGGGCACGCCTCTCAATCATCCTTATTCAGTGCTATGACAAGAATATTTTGTGCAGAATGGGAAACTGTACAGGTAGAACACTAAAAGTGGACGCTCACATCCTCACTGAATTTGACAACAAAGCAGGAAAGACCGAATGACTGACATAAGCTCGAATTAGTGGAGAGGCGGATCTCAGAAAGATGCTTGTCCCCAGGTTAATGATTAGAGTATGAGAGTCTCAAATTAATATCCTTTGGCTGCGGATACTACGGGCACAACAAAACAAAATGCCCATATGACCCAACAAGTCAACAGAAATATGAAGATAGGGAAGCCCCAAGCCACAGACAAATTATTCAACGACCACCGGATGAAAAAATGGAAACCCACCACGGAAAATAAACAAAAACCAGTTCAAGCAATCAAATACGTCACCAGAAAAATCCCACGATGACTCATTGGCGGAAGAATTTGGAGAATGGATGCTTTGTCCCACGGTTACAACGAGCGCGCCAACGGATAGAATTTCCGACCTTCTCGCAGAAGATATGGCAGCTAAAATCCTACTATCACGACGATTGACGCACAGAAGCCTCCTGACCACATTCGACAGCAACACGTTCGTCCTGAACAGTCTCGGAAAGTGGGGGGAAAGGATAGAGCAGAAGCTTATAGCGCGCGAGAAGAAAAATCACGAACGAAAAGCTGCGACGGAAACAAATTGGGTGAACTTTCACTTGGGATGGCCCAAGTTCATTTAACACAGAAAGTGCAGGAAAAAAAGTAGGCCCAAATGAAAACCATAAAGCCCAATATGAGTTCTCGCAAATTTGGGCTCAAATGAAAGGTCCATCAGTTAAAACAAAGATCAGATTTCTTCATCACCCAATTTACATTGATATAACGCGTAAGGCGGATAAGAATTAACCCCACACCCACAATGGGATTGGGTTTAGAAAAAAAAAATTTTTATTACACTTGTAAATTACATTTGGAAAAATTAATTTATAAGCAAACTTTTAATTTTTCTAAATTTTTAAGTAGGTCCCTGTAATTTATTTTGTTTTAAGAAAAAAACATAATATTTGATCTTTATAGTATCATTGAGTTTTATTTTTAGTCTCTATAGTTTTTTTTAGTATTTTCAATACCTATAATTTCAAAAAGATTAAGTGATCTATATTTTTTAGGTCTCTACAGTTTTTATTTTTTCAGTGATTTTAATTTCTACAAGAACTGAAAACACTGAAAAAAAGCTACAAAGACTAAAAGCAAAATTTAATGAAACTATAGAGATAAAAGATTATGTTTTCTCTTTTTTTAATTAAGCCATGATAGTTTGATCAATTAAATATGTTAGTACGTGAAAGTATAAATGATTAATGAATGATCAATATTTTAAAAAATAAAAAATTTTAACATTTATAAAAAAATTGGTTTAATACTTTTTGACAAAAAAAATTGATTTACTACAATATTTATATTTTATTAAAATTTATAAAAAATTTTAATACTAAAAGTTATTTAAAAGACATAACCTAATTATATAGATTTTGGAGTTATAAAAATCTGTAATTAATTTTAAAATTATATAATATTTAATAAACATACAAAAACCCTTAATTTTCATTTTTTTAAAAAATAAGAAAAATTAGAGGTTCTTAACAATCAAGGACTAACATATTAAATTGATCAAACTATAAGAGTTTGATTAAAATAAAATAAACTATAAGAACTTAATTCAAAATTGAATAAAATTTTAATGGCATACAGATTAATTTTCTCTTCATTTTATTAAGAGATCATAAATTTTAATTAAATAAAATAAACTAAAATTTATATATCATAAGTTAAAATTATTTTTTAAAATTTATTAACTAAAATTTATGGTCTCTTGTAAAATCAATGAAAGGATTAATTCATATTTAATACACGATATAAATTTTTTTAAAAAAAATATTGTTTTTATCTAGATTTGGCTTGCCCCAAATTTTGTTGTATTCAAGCTAAATTTTACAAAGCTCAAACATTAAAAATGACTATTTTAGTAAGCTTGACCTAATTTTTTTTTAGAATTAGTTGGGTTAAACTCAAATTACTAGCTCTATTACAAAATATGGGAAGAAGACTAGTGGAATGGAGAAGAGAGAATGTCAGGCGAGGAGAGAGAGAAGGGATAGAAAGAAGAAGATTAGAACCCACATATAATATTTTATTGTAAAAAATATATTTAACATTCAAAATAAAAATAACTCAAAATCAAACTCAAGATATTCACACCTTAAAAAGTGCATTTGGGAGCTAGGGAAAAGTTCAAGAGCAATAATGACACTTAAATTCTTATAAAAAAATATTTAAAAATACAAATGGTGGGAGCCTGTTAATGTCAAAGACAAAAATGACTCGTATAATAGCCATTCATGGATAGAAATGACCTCAGTGTCAAGTTCAAGATACTACAGACTTTAGGATAAAATTTAAAGGCAAAAGTAATCATTAACCTTGAGCATACATATTTTAAAAATAAAGTGCTCTAGCATTTAATAACCTTCACATTTAATGGGAATATAAGGATAAAGATACACACTATTATTATTATGATGTCCTATAAATAGGATTAAGAAAAACACTCTCTTTATCTACCTTATAAATAAGATCAAAGAAATATTTTAGTATTATATAGAATCTAAAAGTATTATTCCAAACAATTTAATACAATTATCATCAATTACAGAACAAAAAATTGTCTAACATTCATCTCAAATCTCAAATGCCATATTTTCCTTGTAATGAGTCTATAGTTATAAGCTTAAATCCTTAAAGATCATGTCTATAAAAGTCAGATCAGCCTTATTGATAGGTTTTAGTAAGTTTCTGTTGCTTTGCAAGTTGGATATTGGAAAGTAAAGTTGTTGTGGACCTCGCAAAATAGCCGGCAAGAATGTATTCATGGTTTTTGAGAGAATCTTTGCCGGGCAAACGTGACAAGGCAAATGATTTTAATTTCTTTTCATTTAGAAAAATAAATATGTAAGATCCCTTTGTCCATATGAGAAAATGATCTCATTATATTTATGTTTTTTAGGGTTGAAAGAAAAAATATTATTTCACTAGGTTTGCTTGATGTCTTAATTTATTTTTTGAAATAATGTCACCCTGCAACTTTCAAAAAGAATACAATATTATCCCACCGTTAACTCATATTAATATTGATTGTTAAATGTTATTTTGACACTCCAAATCACTCCCAAATGCATTGACAACTTGTTTGTTGTCAATTTGTTATGATCAAATTATGGACATAATTTTTGCAACTTCCAACATTTTCATTGAAGCTAAAAAATCATTAAACTTTATTAACTTTATAAAAAAAATTCAATAAATTTTTAACTTTATTCTTATAAAATATACATATTTTAAAAATAAAATATTCTAGCATTTAATGATCTTCCCAACATTTATTAGGGATAAAAAGGTTGAAATATACACAATAATCATTGAAGCACTTTCTAAACAAAATCAAAACAAATACTCCCTCTCTACCTTATAAATAACATATTTTGGCATTTTTTTATTACCTAGAAGTAATTCTCCAGACAATATAATAAAATTATTGCTAATTAAAGACCAAAAAATTGTCTAACATTCATCTCAAATCTCAAATGCCTATTTTCCTTGTAGTGAGTCCATGGTTACAATCGCACGCTCATAAAGAAAAGTAAAATTTCATAGCCCAAACAACTATACGCTTATTTTATAATGAAAGGCACTATACACGCAATCTAAGGAAGAAGGGACATTCTTCCTCTCAAAATGTTCAATAGGCCACCAATTTACAAACGGTAACTCCCTTTACTTGCTTCCCTCTGCAATAAAAGTGAAAAAGATACATTCAGATATCAAATATCACAACCATTTACATGAATGATGAAGCACAAAATAAACAGGTCTACCTTATCAATTCTTCATTTACCGCTTCATTTCGTCTATGCTTTTTCCTTCAAAAAATTCGCCCAGCATTCTTTCTAGATCTTCTGGTGTGTATTTGATGATTCTCTGAGCATTCTTTACATTCTCTACAAGTGGCCTGTTACACGCCAGGAATAAATGAGGGAAGCAATAGCTTATCAGACAAAAGCAAACCCCAAAGATCAATTGCAAATAAAATCAACCATTGAGTATTCACAGGAACAAATGACCAACTATATAAAACTGTTAAAAATTACTCCTTCCATCCTAAACTATAGGATACTTTTGAGAATGATTCAGCATCTCAAAATATAAGACACTTTAATAAAAATAAAAATAAAGTTTCATTAATAATGTTTTTTCTAACATTATCCTTCCCACATACTCCCTTTAGTCCTATTTATAAGGCAGAGAGAAAATTTTTTGGTCCTATTTATAAGCCATGTCATTAAATTTTCACCATAAATTTCCTTTTTTTACCTTCCATTGAATATTGAAGAAAGAAAATATGTTATTGAAATTATATATTTAATAGGAGCAAAGTTGAGAACTTATTAATTTTCAAAACAGAGTTAATGAGTTTTAAGGTTTTTCTTGGTACTGGTAAAACATGTTGGAAGTGACTTATAAATAGGACCAGAGGAGTATTCTCTCTTTTTAATATTGTTTCACAAATAGAGTATTAAATGAAGGACATTTTTTAAAAGTTTATTTTTATTTTGAAAAAGTAAGTTTGTAAAGCATATTTAAAAAGCTTTATTGGTCTAAAAATGTCTTATAAATAGGGACCGGGGTAGTACTTAATAAGAAGAAAGTCAAGAGAACGAAACACTGGATAATCAAAATGCTCTTCATAGGATAATCAAAATGCTTGTGATGCAATTAGCATTTACTACATAGGCCACTAGGTGCAAGATTTCTCGTGTGTGAAGCGGCCAAGAGTCAGAAAACATACCCAAAACGTGTCATAAATGATCTATAGGCAGGCAACAAGACTTCAGCAACAGCAAGCCTGAGAGACTCGCGCAACTCTGTGTCGGGAACTGTCCACTGAGATTGTCTCTGGTGTATTTCCTCAAACATCATATTGAAAGCCTTGAATCTGTGACAGAATACAAAATTCATTCTCAAAAGACAGATAATGAAAACTTCACTTGGAAGAAAGTCTCCAAAGATGAAATTGACGGAAAATCCACTTTTCTTTAACAATTGCTCTTGAAGCACCACTGCTACTAGTTCCTCCATCGCCACCTGCAGTGCCCCCTCTACCACCTGATGAGGTAAGGCCTTGGACAGAGAGGCATTGAAGTACCTGCAAGGGAAAGAATTTACATTGCAAACTAAAATCAAGACAGTGCCCTATAACAAGTACCAGAAAGGAAGAGATTACTCCATGACCCGGGAAGAAAAAACCATGTGTGTGCCTATCCCTGACACTAAAATAAGCAGTGGGATGTGTGCTTATATATATAGTGTTGAGGTGAAAAAAATACTTGTAAAGTATTTTGCGAGTAGCTGTTGCTATCCTTAACTCAAGTATGGTGCATTTTTATCCGTTAACCCTAAAATACAACACAAAACTCCCCAGTTTGTAACAGAAGCCAGATAGTTGTTAAGTAAGGGATGTGGGTCCCACATGTTATGCCACATTTAAATGAGTTAGAGGAAAAAATATTCATAAAGTGCTACACTATGACGCAAATGCAATTTCACCCATCAATCTTATAAAACAGTGTAAAAATCTACAATCTAAAACAAAGGCGTATGTTGGCAGATATTGATTGTGAATGTCAGAAAAATTAAAATTTTATTTGACCCAAAGTGTAAATGAAGAAATTCATTTGTTCAAATTTGTCATAGATAGTATAAACCATAAGCACAACATTTTATTTTGTCACATTTCATAGTAACATAAACACTTCAATTCAAAACTCTGCACCAACTCCCAACTCTCTAACTTTCTTGCTCCATCCTTCTACATCAACTTATCTGAGGGGTTCGAACCCCTCAAAAGAGTGAGTTAGGGGAGGGATGAGCTTGGCAACGAAAGAGAGATGGACCTAATTTAGGTAACAATTGAAGAAGGGAGGGGGTTCGAACTAATTTAGGTAACAAAGAACAAGGAGTTAGGCATGGGTGGACCTACGTTATGGTCAAGGGTCCCCCCCCCCCACCCCAATTTTATTTTTTCCTCTTAATAATGTGAGATTTGATAGAGATTAGATCAAAGAGAAAAATTGCAGTCTCCGCCCCCCACCCAACCCTAAATTTTTTTTACTTTTGATTGTGTCCCTTATCTCTATTAAGTATGCATTCCTTTCCCTTTTTTAACCTTTCCTTTCTTGCACATTTCACCTCTTCATGGTTTAGGAATAATGAGTACTTAGAGAGCATTGATTACGCATATTTACCTCTCTTTATCTACTCACGTGTAATGATAAATAGAAGTATGAATATATTATTATTTTCTTTTAATTTTCATAATCACCATTCTCCTCAATAATGAAAACGTATTTTTATGTATTATTTAAAGTGTTTTCTTGATTGTTTTTAATCTTAAATAGTTTCTTTAATTATAAAATTATGGTATAATGAACTTTTGTGCCAAAAAAAATCTTATACCTAGAAAGTATAATAAACCAAATTCTTGAATATATAAGAGTGTGATCAATTCACATTGATATATAAAAAGTTTATGATGGGTACCTAAGTAGGATGGGGAACTCGACCTCAAAAGCTAGCTAATGAAGTGGGAGACCCACTTATATACCCCATTGAGCATCCCATACTACTCAATATGAGACTTGGTATCCCATACTACCAAGTCTCTATCAATTGGCCCCCTATGGAAAGCCGACGTTTCGACGGCTATACTCCACAGCACTTAACTCGGTCTCCTTCCAGTCAGAACCCTCTGTGGGTAGCCCTTTTTGGAATCACTGACAACGAGGTTTTGATACCAATTGATGGGTACTTAAGTAGAATGGGGAACCCTACCTCAAAAGCTAGCTGTTGAAGTGGGAGAACCAACCCACTTATACACCCTATTGAGTATTCCATACTACTCAATGTGGGACTTAGTATCCCATACTACCAAGTCTCTATCAATTTATCATTGACATACAATGGCATATCATTGACAAATATACTAAACCGACTATATTGTATTAATGCAAAATACAATAGATGTTGAATTGTTTGCTTAGTTTGGTCCTATAACATAGGCTATATCTATAAAAGGCCTTTCTCCATATTTGTCTTAATACATCAATTTGGTTCATGAAATTTAAATTTTATCAATGAAGTGCTTAAAATTTCATAATTATACACAATTAATCCTTATTTTGTTATTCCTCTCTAAAAATATAAGGACTAACTTTGTAGTTATAAACTTTCAAGGACTTAATTGATGGCGTTAAATTTTCAAAAACTAAATTGATAATTAATATAGATCTGAGGGATCAAAAATTCCATTGTTTTTAAAAAATGGTTAAAAAACATATTGATAATAAATATTTAAAAATAAGAAAATCAAATAAATATTTACTCCTATGAAATTGGCCCCCCTCACTTGCAACACTGGTTCCACCCCTGGAGTTAGGGTAGCTTCCAAATGGGTTTTGAATTGAAGTGTGTTAATGTGGTTGTGATGTGTGATAAAATAAACTGTTGTGCCTAGGGTTAATTACTTTTTTTTTTTAATAAAACAAAAGTTTAGGTGAGTTGGGTCTAAGGACTCACCAAGGTCAAAGCATGCTTCTATGCTCAAAAAGTGTTTACAGATGCCCAGGGTTAATTTCTACCAATTAGAACAAATTTGAATACTTGTATTTCCACGTCTGTACTTCAGGTAAAATAAAATATCAATGATTTTAACATTCACCATCAACATATGCTAATTTGTGCCTTTGTTTCAGATGGAGGATTTTCGTACCTTTTTTTAGGATTGATGGGTGAAATTGCATCATAGTGTCATAGTTTATAGATATTTTTGCCTCTAACCCATTTACATGTGACATCTAGCCTCCATTATGGATTTGAGATTTTTGCACCATTTTCTAGGTTATTGGGTAACATTGCACCATACATGAGTTAAGAATACCAGTAACTCCTTGTAGAATACTTTTTAAGTATTTTTGCACCTTAATCCTCTATATATATATATTGAAGAACAATATTTATTAGAAAAGAAAAAAAGCAAAAGGAATCCATATGTGATCACATACTTGCTTAACCAAACTCCTTGTATCTATTTCTAAACATAAAATAGGACAAGTACGAGGAAAATATAACTAGTAAAATCCAGCCCACTTGACTATTCTATATATATACATATTTGTGAGCGCGCGCGTACATGTCTGATGCCCACATGCGCATGAACATAATATCAACACTCAATCAGTTTTTTTGGTGACTAATTGACAGTTTAATTGCCTTCCATTTTACTGGAATAAAGACTATAGACAAAATTAAATTATGACAGTGTTTCCTTCAGATTCAACAATAACTTCTCTTCATCTCAGCTACTTCTACTCCCTGACCAGCTCTACATTCTTTTACACTCTATCAGATTTCTTGAAGTCAAATAAATCATGTTATGCAGGTAAATTCATCAAGATATATTTCATATGAAATCGAAAAATGGGCTGTTGCTTTTACACTACCTGAAGCAGGGGCTGCCTTAAGTAATACTATTATTATCAAGATACAGACAAGGACCAAACTGATATCCAAATAAGCTCCAAGAAGACATTATGGCCAACTAAATCAAAAGAACCACACCTTTGCCCATGCATTTCTTTTGTAATGATTTGCATGCTGCTGCACGATTCTCCTATGCCGTTGCACCCAATCATCCCCTAACAAATCCTTGGCTTCAGACCTAATACAGGTGGCAAAAGCATGAGAATTAAAATCAACCAGAAATTAATGGGAGCCAAAATACACAAATAACTTTACAACTAATACAAGTAGATGGTTTACCTCCGTACTGATCTGACAATATAATGAACATTATTCATAAGGAATATGTGAGTCAAAGCAGTATCTTTATATTGCTTTGATTTTTCCTCTAAATTGGCTTGCAGAGCTTGCATTATTCGCATTGTTACAGAGGCCAGCTCTGAAGTTTCATCTCCCTCAGCAAATTCTTGGAAAAGTTGCTTCAATGTGGACCGGTAGCTATAAAGATTAAGTGGAAGTTAGTCAGATCAAATTTGTCAAGATCTAAGATGCAGAGATATGAAAACTAAGAACACAAGTACAGAAGATAGACTTCACAAGCTTCAGCAATATCCTTAAGTCTAATTGCCACGAAATAGGACAGAAAAGCAGCACGTTCCACCAGCAATGTTAAAAGTTATGGATTTTAGGATCATGCAACCCTCAGATCCTAATATGCTATCCGAACCAGACACAGGATTCCACCAGATTTCAGTCTTATTCTCTAGACAGCCAGCTTCCTCTTTGGTATTCCATCATGTCAACTATACTAGACTGACATAAATTTGAATCATTGGCATGTTTCCTTCTAGTTTAATACAGCATGCCAAAACCAAATCACAATTCAAATAATGAATTAAGAGAAAAATTGTTGAGTTGTAAATTATAAATCATATCGAATCATACAATTCAGATACACAATAGGAAATAACTTGAATTATTTCACATAAATGATAGATGCAATAGAAAAGATCCAGATAAAACATGCCCATACATAGGTTGCACTCTCAGATCTTCTATAACTGTTTACTATATTGTGGTCTTTGAGGTGATATGATTCTTACTAGCAGGATGATAAAAGTAAAAGTTGTAAAGCTTTCAGTCCCATTAATCTTATATTTTCTAGGATAAAGTTCTAGTATAAAGAATTTTACTTTGCGATATAATAGTTTTTTATCTGGTAAGATATGAGGAATGATATCCAATATATCCAAAACTACATTTCATAGCCACATGAAACAACCAAAATAAGTTTTAAATCACATTAACCAGTATGGAATTGATAACAAAGAAAACCTAGACACTTGCTCTTCTAGTTTGTCACATCAACCCAACAGGATATAAGCGGGCTTTCAAGTTAAAATATAATTATGATGGAACTGTTCAGAGACAAAAAGAGAGGCTAGTGGCCAAGGGGTTTCAGCAGTATCCCAGAGTTGATTGAGGAGAGACTTAGTCCAATGGTAAAGACTACTACTACATGGACAATCCTTGTTTCTTTTGGCTGGAAAATTTGACAACTTAGCATAAATATTAAATAATGCATTTTGACATGGGGAGTTGGGGAGAATGTTTACCTAATGCAGGGTTTATTTATAAAAAGAGGCCTCCATACGTGCACTAGCTGAATAAGGCTCTATTGCCTTTAACAAGCCACTAGGGCATGGTCTGATAAACTTTAAACCATATTGCCAAGGGGCATTGTAAATTCAAAATGTGATAATCTTTTAATTCATGTTATGGAATAAATCTGAAATCATTTTCATACTTGTCTGTGTAGATGACACAATTGTCAGTGTAAATGATTTTTCAAGATTGGCTACATTTTTCCATGATCAAAACAAGCTGCTTTCACAAAGAATTGGAAAAGTTACACTATTTCATTCACAAAGAAACTGTTGAGGATGATCATGCGCTGCTTTTAAGCACACAAAGGTACACTTAGAATCTTTTTAGAGAAGTTTGAATGACTAATGCCTCTTCTCCCACACCTGTGACTGCAAGGAAAACCATGTCTAGAAATTATGGTGAACCAGTCGACAAAAGTAGTGGGATGCTTACAATATCTGGTTCCTAATAAACTAGATATTAATTTCGTGACTCAGGGTTTGTTACAAGTATTAGCTTTAATCTTTAGGACAAGCATATGACAACTCGTAGGATCAAGTAGGTGAACCTCTAGGAAAAGGAAAAATTCCTAACTAAATCTTCAATACACGATATTAATCAGTTGCCTGACTCTTCGTCGACTAAAATAAATAAATAACAAATAACAATGCATATTAATATTTCTGTCTCATGAGGTCATTTTGTACTTACCATATGTTTCACTATATAGCATAAGTAGTCAATAACATTATCTGAAAAATGAAAAAATAAAAATAAAAAAAATTCCTGTAGAATCTTATGATTCTCCATTTGGTATTATAAATAGAATCTCAATTTGGATAACCTTGCCTTCCACATTTGCCTCATTAAATTAATATACTAGTTTTTAAAAGAAAGACAATAAACAAAGTTCAAAATAGTTGGAACCCTCGATTCATTCATAAGAATACATTTGGAAAAGTCCAGATTTGTCATGGCTCAAGGCAGAAATAAAAAGTTATAAGGGTCCAAGTCAGCATAACAGAGCCATAATCACGTATTCACGTATCAACACAGAAAGAGGAGGAAGATAACAGAATCTGATGCTGTTACACAGATTATGAGGGATTTAGCTGATTTACATTAATTATTTGCTGTTATTTTTAATTAATTATCGTTTTGTTTTCCTGATAGTAACTGAATAATAGGACCTTATCTTCAATAGTGAGGTACCCACTTGCTAGTCAGTTATTTTCTGATTTTTAAGCTATTATTCTGCATTATTTGATTTGTTTCGTCGTAATTTCTGGCTATAAATATCCTCGCTTCTATAACAGCAGGATATCACTGAGTAATAAACCTTGTTTTCCCTTGGAGGTTCTCCTATTGGGCTATTAAGTTCATTAGAGTGAGATTCTTGCTCTATATAATTTAATAGATTATTCCTTTTCCTTCATATTGTTCCTGAGCTACTACCAAATTGGTATCTGAGGCTCATTTGATCAATATGGTGACCAAATGCTCCGAAAACGAAACTAACCTTACCAACTCCTCTAACAACCCACCTTATGGTCATCCTAATGATAACCCATTTGCATCAGATCCTTTAGCCATCATTGCATCCAGACTTGAAACGCTTGACTTATTAAAAGAGAAGGTGGAGGCACTTGAGGTATTTGCTAACAAAGGTAAAAGACCCATGGGAAGCTATCAAAGACGCTCACACTGGGACGAATATAGTGATGAAGAATTAGACTATAGAGGAGGCTCATGTCCACCACACACCAAAATTGAATTCCCAAAATTAGTAGAGGTGACCAATGTGGTTGGATTCTAAAGGTTGAGAAATATTTCAGGTACTATCAGACATTGGAAGACTTGAAAGTTGATGTGGCTATCATATATCTAGAAGGAGATGCTTTGGATTTATTCTCATGGATAAATTCAGAATGTACCTTAGTTTATTAGGATGAGTTAATCAGAACATTGCACGAACACTATCAAGCAAACCAAATCAATGCAAGAGTATCGTGAAGAATTTACTAAGCGAGTTGCACGAGTTCATAATTGGCCAGAGTACTGCCTCTTAGGCATCTTTTTGGGAGGTCTCAAACATGACTTGAAATCTAATGTGCAAATTCAGAAGCCTTGCACAGTGCATAAGGCTGCTAGTCTAGCCCTAAAATATGACAAAAAGGCATAGCTGCTTTGTGGGCCCAACCCAACTCTTATTAGTGAAGAAAAAGGATGACTCCTGGAGGTTTTGTGTGGACAAGAGGGCCCTAAACTAGACCACAATCCCAAACAAATGCCTAATTCTCAACATTTATAAGCTTCTAGATGAGCTAAATTGTTACACGTTATTGCTATTTTATAGTTATTTGATGGCTTTATTGTCTTTATGCTGGTAGGTTATTATTGTCTTTTTATATATTACTGCATTACAGATTAGTTATTGACAGTATAGGACCTTACCTTTTGGGACACATGTCTAGGTTAAGGGTATATCTTGTATCCTACGTCCTTAGCACATTTTTTTGAATGAAATCAGTCTCTTCTCTTCCTTCTTTCTCTCTTCCCTTAACATTTTGGTATCAAAGCCGTCTCTCTAGCCATGGCTCCACTGGAGACTCAATACTCTACTGAACACATGGATGATCTCGAGCATCGACTGGAGATGCAATCTGCATTGGTGGCTAGCACTCAACTTGCAGTGGACAAACACACAGGAAATAACATGAGGCTATTCATAAACCAGTTTTCTACTCATTTTTCTTCCCAGCTCAATGACATTAATGCCAAGCTCTCGATGATTATTAATCAACCCTCCCGTTCCACTAAACTTGAAGCCGATGAACCTTCCCAAGCTCCCGCTGCGACAACTGCACCACCTCGACCAGCGGCTTCGACACCTCGCTCACCAATCAATATTCCCCCACCCTCATTTTCTAGACCAACCACATCCTCCGTAATAGCTCCTCCCCCTCCCTTGTCAACTCCTCCTCCTCAGTTTGGTTCTTTCCAAGGACTTATTCCCACCTCTCAACCTTCTTACTTTGTTCCAACTAAGCACAGCAGGGTAGAGTTTCCAAAATTTAATGGTACAGATTTCAGGGGTTGGGCTTATAGATGTTGCCAATTTTTTGATGTAGACAAAACACCTGTCAAGCATCGCATCCGTCTTCTCAGTATTCATGTGGATAAGCGTGCCTTGCATTGGCATCTCGCTTTTGTAAAGTAGAGGCGTTTGTTAGACCTCTCTTGGGATGAATATTTTCATGAGATGGAAATTAAGTTTGGGGATATTAAGGATGAAAACCCCATGATTGCTATTGAGAAGTTTTAGATGCAAGAGTTTGTGGAATAGTATGAAGAGAAATTTGATGAGTTTCTCATCGAAGTCGACTTATCCGTAGTTGCTGCCGTGAATTGTTATATCGATGGCCTTAAGAGTGATGTGCAGCAGAGTGTTCTTAGACTACAACCCACATCTTTGGCCAATGTAATGAAAGTAGCCAGCTGAGAATGCTCCCCCTTTAACGTTGTATAAGCCTTTTCACTCCTTCTCTACATTTTTTGCGTTAGCTGCTTCTCGATTTCTGCCTTCCTCTCTATCGGGACACAAAACTGAACTGAGCCCTAACTCCCTTTTGTCTACAGGCCCTACTGTTGATAAGCTCAAATCGTTCAACTCCACCAGTCTATCAAGTTCAGCTTCGTCCAGACCCACTAAGCAACTTTCCAAGCGAGAGATGGATGAACAACATCACAAGGGGCTCTATTATTGGTGCAACAAAAAATATAGCAGTACCCATAGATGCCGATATTCCCATATCTTTGCCCTCATTGTTGAAGATGATTCAGAACTCTTT